GATGTTCTGAGAGGCCAGGCCAACAGACAGAAGGCAACCGGGTGCCAGTTTAGTTTGGGACTCTGTGGGTAATGGAGTGCGAGGGGGCAGCGTGAGCACAGCACTCCAGAATGCCACCGATCGAGTTACAGAGTCAGTAAATATAGCAGCCGCCTATGACCTCCATGGGTCACTCAACACTCACTGGCATTCCACTTTGCTCTTAAAGGACTCCATGGGTATCTCTGAGTTTCTCAGTAACAGTAACTACATTTTATTTGTGTGTGTGCGTGTGTGTGTGCGTGTGTGTGTGCGTGTGTGTGTAGCAAGCTGTACACAGCCCCAGTAAATAGATGGCTCTTAAATAGTACCTAATAGAGGGAGACTGCTCAATATTTTTGATGGAGGCTGACAGCCACTCACTCTGGCCACATGTGACACTGGTATCCAGATAAGAAAAAGCTAATACGTGAGCAGCAGAGAGGACCAAATGAAGTGGAGTGTGTTGTAGTGTGTTGACGTACGTTTGCAGGACAATGGAAAAAGACAGACGCGGCTCTGTGGTGGATGGGCTCTGTGAGGGGTGTAGCGTTACATGACACTGACACTGAGATGAGATGGCGCTGGTACCGGTGTTGCCAGGCTCGCTGCACTGCGGTGTGGGACTTAACGTGGCTTCTGAAGGGACCGATTTGATGCAAAATATGATGTACGCGCATTTTAAATGCCGCTCATTAATAGTGGGGGATGACGTTATTCCGCGCGTGATTAGATAACCAGTCAGACCCGGGGAGCGTTGCTCGGTAATGGAATGGGAGGCTTGCGGTGCTGTCCGTGAAGGGGGAGGGGGCGGTGGGGTGTTTAGGGGCGATAGACAGACCGAAAACTTGTCATCCCCAGAGGAGGCGACGCACAAACTTAATACAGCGCGTATTAACTAACCTGGATACTGATTTCGTCTTTATATAAGCACGTGACCACGACGTATCGGTCAGTTAATTAGCTGTCTTGCTAGCTTACTCTAGTCAACAGTAACGGTGCAGTGTAGCCAAGACAGTAGCACTGTGTCAGAGTACCGCGTCAAACTGTACTGTGTAAGCATATTAGTGCAGCAAGCACGCAAATTTCACGTGTCATAACACAGTACTTCCAAACCTACTAGGGTAGTATTCTTCGCACACGTATATCCAAAAGAAAAATTAAGACTTCGTTTGACGAACTTTTAGAGTTTGTTCGGGGTTTTCAGCCTTGCAGCATAGCTTCGGGCAATGAGCATCCTTGTTCTAAAACTTGAAAATATACTAAAAAAAAAAAAGACAGCAGTTACACTATCACAACTGATACCGAATATTTAACCGCCACGCTGTTACTTCTAAAATGCGCTAGATTGTTTTTAGTGCCGTTTTATATGTTAATTTCCCTAACAAAGCAAACTTAACATTCTCTGAGTTCGATGGGAGTTCGGTTTGTGCTTCTGTCCATACGAAAGAACAGCACCTATCAGGGTTATGGTGGTGTCAGGTAACTGCATACACTCACCCCGCAATTGGAGAACATCCCGATCCAAACGGGCAGGGAAGCGCCACTCAAAAGTACCTCTGTGGTCGCTTTTAGAGCATCACTATTAACATTAGACTGGAAGCTTGCCCTGCAGGCGATTTAATCAAGAGTACGCTGGTATTCAGCCATATCCTCCTTCCAGTGCAGTTGTAGAGTTTCAGCAACCAAGTAACGGTTCTTTTCGCTTTAACGGTGACGTCAGTCGGTCAACGAAGCTTTTTTCTGATTGGTTCATACCTCTATTTGAGCGTCACTAGCTAACGGAGTGAACCGCCTCCTACACCGTCGTCATGGCAATGAACGTAAACATCAGAGATTTCTTTCATTGAAAAAAATGCCACGATCAAGCGCGTCGAAGAGAGCTGGCGATACCTGTGATTTAATCGAAACTTAAATGCTATTCGGATAGCTTTCCAGTAGGTTTTATTAGTATTACAAATAATAGTGAAAAATAGTATATTTAATTAGAACAGCTTGCGGGGAAAAAAGTCAAAGCCTACACAACAAGTTCATTATCTTAATGCAACTGAAGCCGTCACTTTATGATCAGAGCCCTTGAGTAAGTCAATGGCTCTGTCTATGATAGCTGAGATGTGTTATGTAAAAGTACCCAGGAAACTGCGGTCATTTCTTGTCTTTTCTTTTCATAATGAGTGGACACGTGCTACTTTTTTATTGAGGGTATAGGGGGAATAATAATAATTGATTTAAGTATGTAAATTCCATAAGTACATACACACTTTAGTACCTACCTTGATGAAATGAAAAAAAAAACTGTTACAGACAGTACTGGACACAAAATCTGTGAACTGCTTCAAGCTGATAGTCAACCAAAAATCAAATAGCCACTAATTACAACCAAGATTTGTGGAAGAGCGTCTCTCAATGTATGTATTCAAGTATGCCTGACCTTGAAGCAGATGGGCCACAGCAGCAGAAGACCACACTGGGTGCAAATCCTTTTAGCTAAGAACTGAAAATTGAAGCTACAATTACCATTGACTCACCAATCAATCATCTCGGAGGATAGTCTGAAAAAGAGAAACTCTCTGAGCCTCCTTGGTGTGAGAGATCCAAAGAGAAAGGACAGACTGCTTTGAGCTGATAGAAAGGCAACCGAAAATAACCATTCATTACAACAAAGGTCTACAGAAGAGCATCTCTTAAAGCAGCTGGGCTACAGCAGCAGAAGAGCAAGGATCTAAGGCTACAATTTTCAAAGGCGCACCAAAATGGGACAAGAGAAGACTGGAAAAACGTTGCCTGCTCTGAAGAGCCTGAATTTCGGCTGCAACATATGGATGGTATGGGCAGAATTTGGTGTAAGCAACATGAAAGCATGGATCCATCCCGCCTTGTACCACCCATTCAGGCTGCTGGTGGTGTAAGGGTGTAGGGGATATTTTCTTGGCACACATTAGTATCAACTGAGCATTGTGTCAATACCACAAGCAATCTGAGTTTTTTTGCTGAGCATGTCCATCCCTTTATGACCACAGTGTACCATCTTCTGATGCTTGCTTCCAGCATGATAATGCCCCGTGTCACAAAGCTTCCAGCATCTATGCCATGAAGGATTAATGCAGTTCTGAAGGCAAAAGAGGGTCCAACCTGGTACTACTGTGTTCAATTAGTGTAAAGAAAAACACATAAATGGCACCAGATAATTATTCATATGCTTGGTTTCTGGTATTCTGTATTGCTTTCAAAAAAAAATATTTGGTATTATTTCTTATTTAATATCATCCCCGCTGGCTCAGCACATATATAGACATCATATATTCTGATGCCCTCTGGGTGTTTGCCTGAGTCCAGTCAGTGTGTCTTTTAAATGTATATCGATCGTTTTTAGACACTGATGAAGAATTAATTTAGTTTCATTTATAAAACTCTGGACTTTAATCTTTTAAAATAGTGTTTTCTGTCCTCATTTCTGCATGTTCAAAACATGAACTTGAATCCTTCCAATCATCATTGTTATCTTATTAAGTACAACAGAAAACAAAACTGGGCAACACTTCCTGAAGATTGATTAGAAAACCAGTAACAACACAGTTTGAAACTTTAAAAACTTGCTTGTATCTTACTGAGTTTTCAGACTAAGGGGGACCCTTAGGGACTAAGGGGCACCCTGGGACATCTGACCTCAGGAATTCGCATGATAAGGTGGGGCCAGGTTTCACAATGAACTCACCTGAAACTCTGGCTGATTGGGACCCACACCCAGTTCCACACCTTGGCTCAGGCGATTAGAGGATCATCAGGGGGTCCTTTTGTCCCTCGGTGGGGGGACACTCCCACTAGGGTTATATCTGGGACTCTCCACCATTTGACCTTAGAACTGAAGAAGCCTCTCGGATGAGAGGTGAAACGTCTTCAAGTAACTTAAAGAAGTCCAGACGCTTTTTTCTTTGCAAGCTCCTTTGACAAGGGGGGAAAAGCCCTTGAAAAAACCTCCACCCCCTTATTTTTCAGTCTTGTCTTGTTATTGTCCTAGAAAAAAAGAGACTGTGTTTCTGCTGACTGAGATCACATTTATACAGAGTTGTAATTGCCATCTTGTGCTGGATTTGTTTCCCCCTGTTGGTCAACAGTAATTTGCACTGATTAGAGGTTTTCAGAAAGGAACAACCTCTTTTTCTCTTTGATACACGCCTGACAAAGACATGCATCAAAACCCAGCCTTTGCATAAATGTCTAGAGAACCAAAGTATAGTAACTGTAGCCAGATAATGATAGATAATTCCACTTTAATATTTTTTCTCCTGGTCTGGCTCTTAAAAATGCTGGGATGTGCTCACACTTACTCTCTTTTCTGGTAATCAGGTCAAGTGTAAAAGATTCAGTGGTGGTATGGATTCATTAGTCATATTTTGGGAGTGAGAGAAAAAGATGGACTTAGAGTGAGTAATGCCCCTCTGGTTCATTCATTTTTTTGAATTGGTGGGGAATAAATGAACATGGTCTAAACCAGGCCTCAAGGCCGGTGTCATGCAGGTTTTAGCTGTGTCCTTGATCCAACACAGCTGATTTAAATGGCTAGATTACCTCCTCAACATATCTTGAAGTTCTCCAGAGGCCTGGTAATAAACTAGTCATTTGATTCAGGTGTATTGACCCAGGGTGATATCTAAAACTTGCAGGACACCAGCCCTTGAGGGCTGGAGTTCCCCACTCCTGGTCTAAATAATAGCAAGGCATGTCCTCTGTGCCCCCAAGAATGGTCACTGGGATCACCTATCAACGAGGATTTGCCAGTAGATGTTGTATAATATTGTTTGCTAAGTTGCTGCACTCTGGCAGCACATCAGGCTGGAGTATCTGAGTGTCTACATCAAAGTGAGTCATAAAATCATACTGCGGTATAACCATGAAATCATATCATGAGATACAGTCAAAACCTTTGACATGGATCCAAAGCTGCTGCTGCTGTGAATGAAGAAACAGTGTCACACACTGAGGAGGGAAACTGCCATTTATTACCATTCAGTGACGCATTCTTCCCTGCATATACTAAGACAAGACAGATGACTCATTCTGATCCACTCAAGACTTCCTACAGGCTCCTACAATACAAGTGGTTATGCTTTAAATACCACAGATAGTCCCAGTTTATCGTCAAGTGACTTGATGAGCTTAAATACTGAGTGAGTGGGAACAAACCAACAAAGAATCTGTGACACTATAATCAAAGCCCCAATCTGAGATCCAGGATCCACTTTTGAAGGCAGGTGATGACTCAAGCAGTGAACTTACTATTATGGCAAATGTCTATTTTGTTTTCACAGGTTCCCATTCAAACATGGATGTGCTGTAAATAAAGCTGCTGCATGTCTGGCGTCACATGTTGACTTTTTAACTAAGCAAAGCAAATACAGATGCTTATTTTGTCCATTTCAGCAGGCAGGCCCAATAGCCATGTAACCGAATAACATTTCTGCATGACTTAAACTATAAATTAAACTATAAATATAAATTACCCAACTCCAAAAAAGTGGACATACTCCTTTAAATATTGCATTTGTCTGTGGATTATATGTTAATGTACAGAAAGAAGTGAAAATGTTAATAATGATAGCAGCAAATAGAAACACAAGTGCTGGTGTAGTGTCTCCAGCTCTGTTATAGAGGTTTCCCAGTAGAACTGCTGAGTGATGAATGGAAGGTGACTATAGGAAGCCTCACTGTACGATTCTTTGGGGCCGATACCAAATGCTGACGTTTATGGTCCAGTTAGGCTGAGTAGTGCAATAACTGCAACAAAAAACAACCAAAGAAAACAAAGACTGCACTCATGACACGTCAGAGAGTTTTAAGCTGGGATTTTGTTCCCCCTTAAAGGCCTCAAAAAGCTATTTTGTAAACCAGATTCAGATTAGGAATGATGGGGTCCCACATGAAGATATTTTTTTGTCACTGTTAGAAATATGGCCAATAATTTTTTAGTTATATAGACAGTACAGCAAATGGGTGAAGCTCACAGGTCTGAAAAGTGAAGCCAACAAGGAATCCTTCTGAACCTGGATTCCTTTCACTCATCTGCCCTGTGGTTCCACTGAGGTTGTATAAGTGTATGGGGAAACTACTGTTGACTCCCTCACCCTGTAACCTCTTTAAAAGCTTTACTGATGAATTTATTGGCTCAATAACCAGTTTAATTTCATATGGGCATAGCATTCAGTCCATTTTGTGCATCTCAGTGGTTATCAGAATCAGAGAGGAGGATTATGCTCATTATCTGATCGGTTGTAAGTTGTTAGCTAGTGAGTGTGCATGGCTGGATGCATGGTCAATCCTCCAGGTAAAGACATCCCAGAAAGTTGATTCTGTTCATCTGGACATAGCGTTTTCACTGGGAGAAACGTTTCGTCACTCATCCAAGTGACTTCTACGGTCTGCAGGTTTTCCCCACCTTATTTACATGAAAAGGGAACAACCATTTCTGAATAGAGGAGGGGGCCTGAGGGTACATTTTTCACCATGTTACAGTGCTGTGATTGTTGCCATTCCTCAACTCTCTGTTGGCACGGTAGGTAGCTGTCCCTCTGTGATCATTGGTCATGACAATTTGCATATTAATGATCATAGCTGAGCTCGTGGGCCATTGTTGGTCAGTGGTGCTAGCTTCATAATTATGCAAACCAACTGTTTATAAGGTTGAGGAAACCCGCAGTTATCTGACATAGTAGAAGTCACGTGGACGAGTGATAAAATGTTCCTGCTACTGAAACCTCAACACCCAGTTGAACAGAATCAACCTTCTGGCAATGAGTGTGCAGAGCCAGAGTCACCCCTCACTCGTCACAAAGTACACAATATTCAAAACACCAACATGGCAACAGAGAAAACACTCATCTTAAGGCTTCCTAACAGGATTTTACTAACCAGTGGCTGATGTCATGGTGGCTAGCTTCATCTTTTATACCATCTGTGATTTGGATCATTCAGAATTTCAATCAGAATGTAATGTGTAACAATTTAATGGAACCCCACATAGTACATTTAATGAGGAAAAAATGTGTAAATTCATACTCTTTATTCCATGCTTACTGATTTCCAAATGGACTTCTCATAACAGAGGACAACAAGCGGTGAATTTAAACAATTTTATGTTGTTTACGGATACATTTAATACTGGATATTTTGTAGTTTTTTATTGCAATTACTGTGCTTTTGACATCAAAATCCATCTTTCAGATTAACAGGTGTAAGGAAACCCTTTCCTCGTTATTTTGAGAACCCAAGTGGATTCACACTGTCAAAGCCCAATTATTGCCATCTTGGCTACATAGGGGAAAGGCAGGGACAACTGAACAAATTCAACCAGTAGGAGGAGGACATGTCATCAGCCCAGATGACAATGTCATGGCTAGTTAGTTTTTTTTCATGGCATTGTAGGTAAGACCACCTTACATATGCTGTGGTGTTTTTGTGTGTTAAAATGGTATATATTCTAATGGAGTTTAGTAGTATATGCGGCCAGATGATCAACATTATTCAATAAAGAACAAAACACTGTAGGGAACAGATTAGGAACCCAAGAGCACAGTTAAAACTCTGAGAGTATGGATTTACACATCCCCCACCTGGACATAGTAGGTGCTCTGTACACTACCAATCACTTCACACTTTGACTATTACACCTCTGAATAATAATTAATATTTTTTTATGATCTCATCTTTGATCAGTGCTTTATTAGTTGTGAATGACTGTGAATGTGAGGTACTGAAAATCAGAGATTACTTTTCACTGACTTTAAGGGCTATAAACTGGCTTAGACACTATTTTCAGTAAGCTGGGTTCCCAGTAAATGACATTAAGAAAAAAATGTTCAACAATACATCAACATTTAAAATCTGAGCACTTAAAAGTGGACCCATTATACACATACTTTTTATTCTTGGACTTTGGCAGCTTTGCATAATCTATCTTATGCAATTCTTCAGTGCAGCACCAAAGTTCAACAAATTGTTTCAGCTTCTGTGTGTGTGTGTGTGTGTGTTAAAATGGTATATTCTCTGTTAAAGAGTTTACACACACACACACCATATATATGAGTGTATCTATGTATCTATGTGTGTGTGTGTGTTAAAATGGTATATTCTCTGTTAAAGAGTTTACACACACACACACACACATATATATACACATATGTATCTATCTATCTATCTATCTATGTATCTATGTGTGTGTATGACAGCAATGAAGAAATAAAAACATAATAGGTCCCCTTTAATATAATACAAAATTCCTTTAAGTGCAGTATTCCTTCAATCTAAGCAAGCAAAGTGATACTTTCTTCAAAAACACGTAAATTCAATACATAAATCACATGCTTACCATTACGTCACCCACCCTGCAACAATTATATACGACACACTTTCAAACAATCACACACTGATCAGCACAGTCAAGCTTGATATTCCAGGCCACACTTGGATGTTGGTGTCTTGGTGTGTGCTGGTTTCTATGGCTGTGGTTCATGCTACACTAACATTTATTCAGCACTAGTGTGATAATAAAATGGGCAGGGGAGGGGGTGCCTTATTCAAGTATACCAGTGGTATTACAAAATGAACTTATAGTTGGAAGGGAAAAGAAGGGTTTACATATTTGTTATAGACAGGGTAAAAAAAAAAAGATCAAAGCGCATTGAGATGAGTCTTCTATAAGCAGTGGATGAGCCGGCGCTACAGACATTCATTCCCAAACAGCCACTAACTGTGAATATTTCATTTTGTGGCTGTAAATATAGCAGTAACACTGTCAGGAATCCAGCACTCTGCTAGGTTGCTTGCTATAGGAAAAATCAATAGCACCAAACATCTCACATCTACACTCCTCTAATACAAGATGAATGCTGCATATTAAAATCAATATGACTGTATATATATTCCACATTACTATAATACTACCAGCAGCATGAGCTATCTTTGGTGAAATTATATCTGTGCAGAATGGACTATAATGTAGAATACACTACATTATGGCAGATGAAGCACTAACATTGGAATATATCAGTATTTCACTGTATAGCGTTCACTTCAAAGTAGAACTATTGGCTTAATATCAGTATGAGCCCTTCTGACTGATATACGGGCATTTGCTGATGTTAGTGGCCAATACTTACACATTGTGTACTTCATATTTGTGTTGGCTAACTGTTCAAAAATAGTGTATCAAGGAGGTTGTTTTGTGTTTGTTTGTTTTTTTTTATTAAGATTTCTTTGTTTTCCAGACAGGAGTGGAAATAAATATCTTCCTCCCCTCACCCTTAACCTGGCACGGTAGGTAGCTGCCTCTCTGTGATTTGCTTCTGCCAGATGTCTTTTCCTTCCTACCCACTGTCAAGTGCTTGCTCACAGAGGATTATGAGATCACTGAGGTTTTCCCTCTAATACAGTTGGGTCTTTAATTCATAACATAAAGCTTATTAAAGCAGGTATTGTTGCTAACTGGTTATATACAAAATAAATTGATTAGACTACATATCAAAAGAAGAAGTCAGCTATCAGCCAAACAGTCATTTTAAACACTGGTATAAATACCCAGTGGGTGCACTTAAATGCCTTCAAGTGAGATCAGCATCTGTTAAACGATGGTTGCTGATTATATATTCTTAAAAATTCAAATAAACTGTAAATAAATTATCTTGATTATGCATTTAAAGTTACATAAAAGTCATTCTTTGGGTGAAAAAAAAGCATGGAGCAGTGACAACATTGAATGCTGTGTCCTAAATGCAAAATTATAATTTCAAACTAATATCATCATGTACACAAAAGGGGAACTGCTGAAGCAAAGTTGCACCGTGGCCTGAATGTAATCAATAATAGCTCAAATGCAGATGCTATGATGTCCTGATGACTCTTACCTTATGTCTTTTGTGTACTCTGGTCTGTGTGTGTGTCATTTCTTCCTGCACTGACAGAACACACATCCAACCAAAAATACAGTGAAGCTTGTAGAAGGCAGCACATATAACATGACACAGCAACAGCTGCTCTGTGTGGGCAGCCGTGAGAGTGCACACAGCACTATCAATGATAGGAAACGCAGTAGCATCAGTTCTTAATCACTGACAAAGGAAAACATGGACGGGCAGAGAGTGTGCACTGTTGCTCCTGAAGCCATTTTGTTGCTAGGTGGTGTGCTTTATCTTTTCTCTCTGTTTTGCCTCGTGTTGCTTCATTTGGATGTTTGAGCTTCACTGTAGGGATGTTAAACAGAGCTAATCATCATCCAGTATAGAAGTGCTAAATCTTCTTATTACATTAGTTTCACACAGTGACATTCACGTCACTATGGCCTTTTGACTGAATGTCAAAAGGCCATAGTGAATGCGATTCAACAACGTAACTTAAGAAATTTGCCACATTAAACAAGGCAAAAAACACCACCTGACAACAAAATGGAGCTTCATCACCAGTCCTTCAGTTTACAGTGCTTTTGGCGCGAGCCTTCCTCTGCTCTTCCTCGTGTTGTGCCTCAGGTAAAAGTGCAGATGAGAGCAGTTCTTTTCCACTTGGTGGTACTGCCTGACAACCAATCAGTGTAACTTTTGCGACAAGTGGGCAAGCGAGTGATGTTGGAGACTTGCCTACGCAGGTGCTATAGTACATGCCATGCACTAAGAGACAGAGCTGCAGTCAAGCTTTGCTGGTCCAGCAGCGGCCCTCCCCTCCGCTGAAACTGCTAGCTGACTGAGAGGTGCTCTTCTCAGCCCGTTCTCAAGTGTGACACGTTTGTGCGTTCGCTCCAGTGGTTCCCCCTCGGAGAAAGCTCAATTAAATAAAGACAGGATCCGCTGCATTCCCAGTGCTCACTTCTATTTCAGAGGCACTCAGCAGCCATCTGTAGTCCACTAGTCTAGTCTCCTTGATGGTGCTCATATTGCTTTCATAATTTCTGTGTATGCCCTCTCTCAGTGGGCCACTGCTGCTGTTCTATTTTCCAATTATTTTGCTGTATCAGTTAATCAATCAGAAAAAAATTATTTTTTCAATTCACTCTCGTCAGCCAGCAGGTCATCAGCTGTTCACTTGGTTTTGGACACCACCAGTATTTCGTCACCGTCTTGGATGCTGTAGGAGTGGAGAGCTCGCGTGTTGTACTTCATTTCCTCTGGACCGAAGGCACTGCCCTTGTCGATGTAGTAGAGCCTCATGCTGTTGGTAGACAGCTGGACCACTGTCGTGAGCTGCTTTTTCAGCTCAGCCACTGTCTGGTCCAAACGGATGCTCAGCTGGCACAAAGACAAACAATTTCTACGTTTGCGACTTTCAGAGTAACAGCAAGAGCACAGCAGGTTAACGTTAGGAGCCATCTGTAGGCTGACAGCTATACTGTTAAAAGTGAACCAACCAGGTCATGAACTCGAGAAACTGGAGTTCATGCTGTTACGAACAGTGTCGGGAAGGTTACTTTTAAAATATATTCCACTACAGATTACAGAATACATGCCCCAAAATGTATTTTGTAACATTTGTAAAGGGACCTCTGGCTTGTAGCTGAAAACAAGTTTTACTTTGTTGTCTGGGTCAACTTTGCTAGCGAGAGACAGAGAGATGTGTTCAAAGGCTGCTCCAATGGAACTTATTGTTTTGGAGGAAAACACGAACACAGTACAGTCAAGCTTACTTACAACTGGGCTTGTCAGGCACTCTTTTTGGCTGCAGTGGTTATTATTATATTTACATGCTTCCATCTCCCATTTCTGGTGGGTGACAACTTGTACTTCTTCTCCCTCCCTCAGACTCACAGACACATAACGGGTATGGCAGTCCATTCTCCCTGCAGCATGGCCTATACTGCCCATTAGGCTACATTCTTTAGGGCTATGCCTGTAACACTCTGCCTTTTGCCTTCTTATTAAATTATTTTTGTGAATAATTTTAAAAAAATATTTCTTCATGTCATTTTGCGGGCCGCAAATAGTACTGACACAGGCCGCGAGACTGACACACGGGCATTAGAGCCTCTTAATGCTGGCTTTGTTTAGGAAAAAAGAGAGAGCATAGCCTAATATATGAAACAGGAAAAGACCGCCGTGTAATCCATTTATTTCAACAAAGTAACTGTATTCTGAATACCACCCTTTTAAACGGTAACTGTAACGGAATACAGTTAGTCATATTTTGTATTTTAAATACGTAACAGCAGTACATGTATTCCGTTACTCCCTAACACTGGTTACAAACCAGAACACAGATATTATTATATTAATCAGCATGAACACAATGCTTTGACAATCTGCGCATAGACTAACTCTTTCATTTTTTTGTTTTAATAAAAGTAACTAAAAATCTACTTTTGACTGCTGCCTTATTCACAAGTGGCTAGCTCCACATATTTGATTTGCCAAATTTTTATGCCAGATGCTCATCCTGACACAACCCAAAGAGATTTGTGACATGAAGCAAAATAAACTAAAACAAATTGCACTAAAATGCTTTGCAGACCTGAAGGGAACTACAGAGGCAAGTAAAAATAAGCTAATTTGTATTTTTATAGAAATTTCACTACGATTGTGTCTAATATATGTGCAATCTTTTGAAAATTTAGGATTTGCAAATAAATGTAAAACTGTATTTTTTTAAGGTTTTGTTGTTTTGAGTTTTTGTGGGCTTGAACAAACATGTGCACTGATTACAACATTGATAAAGTATACCCAAGCAAAATAAATAATCTCCAGGGTCCTTCACAGCAAAGGTATTTTAAAATGTTAAACTGGTGCTGATTGAAATATTAAAATTGTTTTATAGTACTAGTTTTTAACACCGAGTTTTGTAAACTCTGTGTTAAGAGATTTCATCTACTTCTAAATGTCAAGTGCTTAGGCACTAAGGGCAAAGTACAAAGGCATAGTCATTTACTAAAGTGATTCAAAGTGGTATGAGTAGTAGAGAAGGAAAAGAAAGCAACGGTTACATTTTATAATTTCGAAAAGGTATTTTTCATTCAAGGATTCTCCAGAACAGCAGATTATTAAATGCCACACTGACCTGTTCTACTTTTTCCTCACAGTGAACCTCCACCTGGGCACGGCAGCGAGGTCGGAGGTCAATCTCAGCAAGTGGTTCAAGCTTGCCATACTTGTTTACGAGGGAATGGTATCTGAGGAGGAGAGCAGGGTGTGTCGTCTGTTTTAACAGCACTTACTGTAGCACACATAAACCAACACTCATACCACTGCTCATACAGTGTAAACAAGGGCGTGGGTGTACCTATAAGGCAGCTCCTCTTCAGGGTAGTCTAAGTAATAACGGATGAAGAACCTCTCTGCGTCCTCTCTCTCACTGTCACTCACAGCACTGCCATTTAGCAGTGATACTGAGGGAAGCCTGAAGAGGAGAGATGACATATTGTGCAGGTATCTGTTTATTGACCTTCTGCAGGTCAGAGTACAGCTCAGATCTGTGGATTATTCAAGCTCTCATCAATGTCCTCTACTTGCTGTGAAGGATGTCATTTCTCTCTAATGTCACAGACTTACTGCGCTATCATGAGGCTGCGTCGCTCTGCATTGGTGTAGGCCTGCAGTAAGGGAATGCCCTGCAGGCGCACCTCCTCCAGCCTGGGGAAGAAGTTCAGCTTCTCTATATCTTCCCACTGGTTTAGACCTGACAGTGCACGTGCGCGCACCAGCACACACACAAACACAAACACACACAGATGTCATGTTTCAAGCTTGCACACCAAAACGTCTTTATAGGGATGGGGTGTGAAACTGCATATGTGATGAAAGTTGGACACTGTGCACTATTTTTATTTATTGAGGAAGCTGTGTGATAAATGCCATCAAGTGGAGTCAACTGAGTTGGGATCGGGGGTGTAACGTTAAAATTAAGCCAGCTCACCAGACCTCTACAGTCTGGCTCTGTAGTAGCTACTCATGTCCACTTAAGACAGACAACCTGAGCCTACCTTACTTACAAGACATTATATATACAGTATAATATAACAGATGCAATATAATATCACACAAATGATCCTCCATCGTATTACACAATATACATATAACATTATATCACTCTATTTAAACATGATACTTCATGTTAGTTTTAAAATGGTCCTATTGTGCATTTCCCCATTTATATATCTACTATTACAATGATGGATATGCATATT